GAGGATGCCTTTCGAAGCTTGATGGGCCGGCGCCAATGCGAAAATCGTGTTCTTTCATGTCGTCTGTGCCTTCCTCAGCGCTACGCTGTTGGAAGTGGGAGGGCGTCCGTGCGGGAGACGTGAAGAAGGCACACAGGCTCAAGTGGATAACTTGGATAATTGCCCAAAGTGAAAGATATGCTCATGTCCACAGGTGACATATCCCACACTCGGTGGCATTTTGCGACACCAGCAACAGCGAGGCTCAGTTTACAGCATCCTTGTTTTGAACCCGCGCTGAGGCCGAGGCGTGTGGACGGGAAGGACATACACTCACGCTTTCGTGGGCAGCCGAGCAAACCCTAGAACAGAACACGACCAAGACTAGTCCAACTGATGGTGGCTGGAAACAGTTCAGGTACTGGAACGCATCCAGACATCCAGATATCTGGATTCGAAAGTACCTTCAGCAGCGTAGGGCTGATGTCTTTCAGAATGACGCTGTCAGTAATGTACAAAAAGGTCAGACTGCAACAAAATTCGCAACGCTCGAAACTGGAACGTACAGAAAGGCGAAAGAACCGCCCAACTGCACCGACATCTTGAGGATCAGCGCGAGTTCCCACAGAAAGTGCATGTTCCAACGACATGATGTTGCCAACCAAATGGCGAATCATCACCCCAAATCCATACAGCAAACCAAGGACATGCACCAAAATCATCAGCGATGTGTACTTTCGCCACGAGGGCTGGATGCAGATCATGGCGTTGAGCACCGCGACGGCTTGAACAGCCCGAGCCAGGTAAAAAGAATCACGTACTCCCCCATGTTGATGCCCCGACGGCCTTTCGACGAGGGCTGCGTCCAGACCCTGCAGAACCCGACAGCACCTCCAATGGGACAATGTTGGCAAAGCATACTATTCCCATACTTTTGTCGCCCTCCTTGTTGCGGAATGGTGATCTCACGAATTGGTGTACCAACAACACAGTCATTACCACGGACACCACGACGTGGATCACGATCATTGGCGCGAGGATGTGACTGTCACAACGCCGTGGGCCGTCGCCTCTCGCTTGGGATTTATTTTCAGACAGGCCACCTGTCATGGCGCCAAGGAAGAGGGACAACGCGTGGCAGCGGCTGCACAAAATCGACGGAACATGTCGTAGCGGTACGTGTCTGGCTTGAAAGGCCCCTCAACTGGCACGCCGACTCACCTTCTTGTCCAGCTTCGTTGGCAATTGCCACGTGGATGCCATGGCTCATTGGCTTCGGCCCGCAAACCCAGGGGGACGTATATCCGAAGCCCTCCAAAACTCCTTCAACTTATCTATTTGACAGAAAAGTAGCTGATCGTGGGTGTAATGCTCCGGCGAGAGCGAGAGCAACTTCGTCTTGCCGCCACTGCCGTGCTCCTGCGTGCGCAGCCGCGCGACAGAGTTGTTCCACCCCTTCCCTGCATCCCTGCACTCCTTGATCGGGCAGCAGCAAGTCGCATCCTAGCTACTAGTAAAGTTACTAGTAAGAGTTTCTCAACGTCCCTAAACATCCCTAAACGGCCCTAAACCCCCGGCACAGACAGAAGCTCTCCTTGATTGCAAATCCGAGCTTCGGGAGCCTGGGCTACAGAGGCCCTCTGAGGGAACAAAGCAAAGCCTTAGCTTAGCATATCTTAGCATCGTCCGAGACACTTCGCCCTCTCTTTGCAGTTCTTGATGCTCAGCCTCAGCAGAGAAAAAACAAAACAGAGAGAGAGAGAGAGAGAGAGAGAGAGAGAGGAGCTCTTTTCCGTTTGGGGGAGGGGTGCCTTCATTGGGGGAGCTCTAGGCCTGGTCTCCAGAGAGAAGAAACCGAGGCGCTTGTCTGCGAGGTGGTCGATGACGTGCTGCGGCCCGGCGATCTCAGAGGAGCCGGTGTCGATGGCCACGTGGCAGCCTCCCGGATCTTCCAGGCGCGAGCTGCGACATAACACGGCTCTACAGTACAATCATGTACAATCCCCAGACATCTCGCGGCAAGCCTTTGCAGATGTTCTGCGCCTTATCATCGAGGAAGATGTCCTACACAGGGTCTGCGCCGGCACGCGCGCCGCTTGGGCAGAGCGCAATGATTGAGGGGTCTCGGCTGCTAGTTTCCCTGATGGCTTGATGGTGTTAACAACAACTGGGCTGGAGCAGAACACGCCCGAGCTTTTTCGATCCTGGATCTCGACCTGCCAGTAGCCAGCTTTGCCACTGACCTTGAACCAATACATCTTGGAGCCCAGCTTGTCCTGACACCAAGACAACGAAGTGTCCGACCAGCGAGCGTTGGCACTCACAAGATATGGATACCCTCTTTCGGCTCAGGTTGAAGAGTTGTGTCGGGCATGTTCCACTGCTTGGCTCCGACGCCGGAACGGATGGAAGCTAAACTGAATTAATCACAACTGACTGAGGAGATCCTGAACGCAGCCCGTGTCACTGTTTGCCTGAATCACTGAATGCGCCCAGGCCTTCTGGATGTCGCCGAAAGTGATTTGGGACTTTTCCTTGGTTTCAAGTCTGGAAGTCTTGTGCACATTCGCGACCAGCTGCGGCCAGGCGGCTTCCTTTGCCCGTGCGAAGAAGAATGCGAAGAGCGGTGACTTGATGCTGTCACCACGCTCCTGGGGGGCAGGACCCTCTTGCAAGGAACAGTCCTGGCTCTCTGTGCAGCTTTCGATCCAGGGAGTTTCCCCTCCACAGTCAAAGCCGAGACTTAGCCGAGACTTGGCAAACTCCTTGCCCTTCTGCCGTGCCTTTCCGATCCTGCATGACCCTCGGCTTCCAGCTGAAGAGTAGCCCTGCAAGCCCAGGCTCGAGACGCTGCATGATACTGAAGTCGTGCGACTGCGCCTCAGGCGATGGATCTCACGGTCTGCCATGCTATCTGCCATGGCGTCCGAGGTGCCAAAGAGTCCAATCCCAAGCCGAGGATTCCATCGAAACTGACCCACTCGAAGGGGTCGTTGCTCTCCTGGAGCCGGCCGGTGAGAGCCAACAGCTGACTGCTGGAGGCTGACGAAAGCACCCAAAAGGGCCTCGAAGGATGAGATGAACTTGGCGGGTGCACACATCTTCTCCCCGAGGCAGACACGGTCCCGGAAGCCTCATCTGAAGGGCGACATGCTCACTCAGCACAGAGATCCCCGCCTGTCTGCAGCCCGAAGAAAATGACACGTCGAGAGGCAGTGTCCACGGACCTCTCCCGTGCCGAAGGTGACCACAAGGTCATTGGGAACCTCGTTCGACCCGACCTTAGACTGCAAGCGACGTCACGCAGACCGCACTCGTACGAAATACCTTTCCAACCCGAGCAAAAGTCAGTGACCTCGCCGCCATCGCAGTGGTGTGCGTGGCTTGTCTTGCTCTGAGCATCATCAAACCTCGCAGGGATGCTCATGGGTCCCATGCGAGGTCTTCCTGCTCCCTGGCCTCCTGTGCTGCGTGCAGGCAGAGACGGTGCAATTGACGCCCGGGACGATGAGATTCCCGCTGCCTGTGTCGAAGATCACCTCGAACTCCTGAAACTTGCCCCCACTAGATCTTTTGTGCTTGCTTGCCTCCTTTCCGTCTCGCTTGACTTAGACATCAAAATCAAAGGACCGCAGTCGAGGAGCCCAGGGCCGAGGGGATGGGGGAAATCTGGCACTCTTGCATGTGAGCCTCACAAGTCCCAGCCCCGGCTCCTGTGGTGGATTCCCAACCGTCACCTGCGCATGCACACGACCAACCTTAACAGAGCCCCGTGCCAGAAGCCCGTCTCTCTCCCCACGCACCTTGCCAGTGTAGGCCATGTCCGTCTGCGTGAGGACCGTCGACCCAAATCGCCTCTCACAAGACTTTACTGACGATAGAGGCAGCAAGGACCACCAAGATTTGGGGGAGAGGGACTGTGGAACAAGAACACTTCCACAAGCCTCTTGAGACCACCGCGACGCTTTTTCAGCTCAATGGCGACCTCGGTTGGCATCGGCAGCGTTTGGCTTTGCAAGCGACGCCAATTCACAGCCTCCCCCGAGCATCTGCCTTCCTCCTGTAGCAAGCCACCGGCTCGTCTACAGCAGCTCAAAGAGCACAGGTCGGCTCTTAGACTTCTCTGCCACGCTGCCGAACTTCGTGTGTCCGTGTCCGTGACAATCCTGGGCAGCAAGCTACAACATCCTGGAACACCTTCTTGCCTTTCCTCACAAACCACCGGCTCACCGACTTCCCTGCGCCCAGCCTAAGCCTGTGCAGCACGGCAAGCAATGCTTCTACCCGCTGCAGAGGAGAACAATGTATCTAGTCAATCGCGTCTTCATGTCCACACTTGAATTTGCTCCAACGTACTGAACTGTCTTCACCGCCGAAGGACTTCAGCACACTTCCAGCTCGCCAAGAGGCGCGAGGAGGAGGCAGGGAAGGGCGGCGAGCAGGAGGACACGCATTTCGTAGTTGGTTTCCTCAGTTTCCCCAACTTGAACCTTTCTAAACCGAGAGGAGCACAAGGAATCTTACAAGCACGGAATGCTGCCCTGGCCTAACATCATCGAAACGAACTATGCTAGATCGCAAGGCTGCGCGACTTCCCTCAGGCTCGTCGGATTTACCAAAACACCAAGAAGACTCTTGATCGAAGAGCCAACATACGTCTACGGCGGCTGTGGCTGTACCAACGAGGCTTCCTGCTCGTCTTGGAAACCAACTCCCCAGCCATTGAACTCTTACTCACACCCAACCTTTCTCCTCAAGGTGCCATCCCAGGCACGTTACCGGAAGCGTAGTGGGGTAGTAGATCGGTGGAGACCGAGGGTCCCACAAGTAGAGCGTGGCTTGAGCCGCACATCCGCCAAGGACAGCTGCTATTTTTGGCTCCCGGATCGCAAGTCACAGCACGGCAGGTCTCTAGGTCACTCTGGGTCGGACTGCGAGCGAGCTGGAAAGCAAGGATGCAAACAAGACCGTTTGCAATGGAAGGTGAGCATCGGCAAGAGTGCCGGCGAAGCATCTCACAAATGGAAAAGGCAGCTTATCCTGCCAGTCGTGACAGATGGTGTTTTCGCGATCATGGCTGAGGCTGAAACCAAGCTATTATGTCGCGCGTTCTCTGCGTCGCTGTTGACGAAACCAACGACATGAGAGCCTGGGTGCAACACATCAGCATATAGTACTGTGCACTGCGATTGCATTTCCTGAGGCCCTGCTGCCTTCAATGTTCGTTCGGAACCGACTGGCCCGAAGAACCGAAGCAAGAAACGGGTCTGAGGACGTCTCCAAGGGCGTGCTCGCATTGAGGGTGGACGTTGCATTTCCTCCCCTGGGCAAAAGGGCTCAAAGAAGTTTGGCCACGCGCATCGGTCTGTGTATGAGTCTGCTCCGAGGCTTGCTCGCGCTGCAATGCTGCATCGATGGATCGTGGCTTTCAGGATCAACGACATGCTGTTCATCACGTGGCCCAGCACGAGTTACGATAAAGACAACACGATGCCACCACTCTTTCAACCACTTAGCCCTACAGAGGGCCAGGCCAGCCAAAGGCGAACTCAAAAGCCTGGCGCGTAAAGGCTACTTGTGCGATCTTGTGTTACTACAATCTTCCCTGTTCCGGCTGTCGGGCTGACTACTAGGTTACTAGGCGGACTAGAAAGACTCCCACAAATCCGATCTGGCTGCTGCTCTGGAAGCACTCGAGGCACCAAGAACTCGAAAGCTTATCGAACCCTCCGTTCACACATCTGCGACGATGGTAAAGTGGCCGGTGTTTAAACCTGGATTCCTAGGAATCAAAACAAGTTAAAGAATTGAACCTCGTGTGCTGGAGCCCGGATCCCCCCACCCCGTGCTGAACCTAGTCACCGTGGCTTCTACTGCAAGCAGCGCATGGGACGACTGAAAACAGAGACGGTCGCGGTCGTGAAGAATGAGGAAACAGCTCCTGGTCTCGCTGCCTTGGTGTTTTGAAACTTTTGCGAATCATTTGCCAGCGTCTTTTGCGAAGCAGTGGCAGCAAAAAGTCTGGCCAGGATCTGGCGCTGAGCCCCTGGCAGTGTCAGTGATTTCTGCAGCAGCGAGAACCTTTCATGGGCAGGAGAACTATAGCATAATCCGCTGTGAAGCGGACACCATTCCCATGCACTCAGAATGTCAAAAAAAGCTATGGACTCCTTGAATTTCATCACACCCTGACCCGAGTCCGAGTCTTCAGCTCCAATGCTGCATCAGCATCTGCAAGATCTGGGACCCCCTCCAGGGCCGCAAAGTCATGAGTTGCAAGCAGCATCTGCTCGAACTAGTGTGGCACATGAGTGTACAGCTACTACCCATAGATTACAAAGAACTCACAAAGGTCATACTCTCGGACCTCCCAAAGAATGCCATTCATGCCACAGGCTGGGCAGTAAGGTCGCTCATGCGGGCGTCCTCCATGTCCGGGTCCACGACCATGTCACCGCAGCCGCTGGTTTGTTCCTCTTTTCAGGGCCACGAAGGCAGGGGTAGAACCACTCCATCCACTCCGGAAGGGTTCATCAAGCTTGTGTGGGACTTGTGCCCAGTTCTGTGACATGAGAGGCCCGAAGCGCCGCTTCCCTCTTGAGGTCTAGCGAACATCATCTCGTCTTGTAACATGGGAGCGTTCAAAGCACCAAAAGGCTTGCAGGGAGAACGTCAACCTGTAACTTATTGCACGTTGCACCCACGTATACCCACGTGCTTACGCCAAGAACTCCTCTCTTTTGTTGACCCCCACAGCACGCCGTCCCTCCGACTCTCTCCATACAGCTGAGGGGGTGGCCGCTGCGGGCAAAATGAAAAGTAAGGATACCTCGGCGCCGCAAGCCAGAGCGTCCATACGGATTTGCATTTCCACTCGGGCGGTTTCAAGACTATCTCGTCACTCCTTCGGAACTCCTTTGCATGCTGAGTCCTTTGTTTAAGCCACTCATTCTCTTTAACACCCATATCAAAAAGGCAGAGCTACTGGAAACTTATGGAAACCTTGGATACGATGTAGTTCCCAAGAGGCTGTAGACTTGAACTGACGATCGGCGACTATTCCAGTGCAGATCTTCCTCCGCTTCCGCCGACTACGTAAGGTCTGGGCAACCGCACAGATCGGCAGTGCTGAAGAGGCACCCGAGGTGCGGTGACGAGTGTCGAAAGCATGTTTACCCAACCCGCTTTTTAGCCCGCTGGAGTTGTCATGGCCCTGTTCAAGATGAATAGACAAAGACTGGGCTGCCCCGTGCTAGAACATCTTGTGCCCGACAGCGTGGCGAAGGGTTTTGCCCTGGAGCTGGTTTGGATGTGGTCCCCAACTGGAGGCTTGTTTGTCACATCTATTTTGCTGCGGAGCCGTCTTCATTTCTGGTGAGGTCGCACGGCATAGGTCTTCTTGAGGTCGCTTGGCCGTTGGGTGTTCATGTGGTGCGTCTTCTGCACAACACCCCAACATGGGCAAAAAAGACAAGGCAGCATGCACAAAGCACATGTGAGCCCGCAAGGGCCCAATGTCCCACCCGCGGCCCCCACGCCGAGGATCCATCGGCTCATCTTCCGTCCTTGGCTGGACCACAGTCATACGAGTCATATGCCGGCTTTCTAACGAAGCCCTCCTTTGTGCTCTAGCCACTTTAGCCCTCCCTAGGCCCTAGACCCCGCATCCACATGGCACAGCATTCGCGATCGGGCCCAGTTGCGGATGAAGTGGGGCTTCTGTATCGGAAGGACTCCGTCACCATCCGTGCCGGACCTGGGAGAGTTGGACCAGGAGAGCTTCTCGAGCCTGTGAGACAAATGAGCTGATCTCTGTTGAAACTGCCCTCCGAGTTGGCAGCCGTTGCCAGCAAAGGACGGTGAGCTACGGGCAGGTCATGAGCCGAAGGGCAGCACAGAGCAGCTCGGGCGATGGGAAGGAGGTACTTCGGCTCTGAAGACTGTAAACTTCTAAAGTGTCAGATCTGAAAGGACTCGGAATCCGAGATCTCCAGCGAACTGTGGAAGCAAAAGTGTCCAGTATCTGCGGAGTTCGGCACGGTCGAATGCACCGCATTTTCAACTTGCCTTTGCCCACGAATTTGCAGGCTTGTGAGACGCAGGTTGCGAAGCTGCTAGTGGCGGCTGTGTTCACTGCCACAAGGAGCCAGCACCCCATCCGTCTGTTTGCACAGAGATTTAGCTCAGACATACCGCCAGGCGTTTTCGAGAATATCCGTTTGAGGTCCTCACACATTCTCACTCCTCGACACGGCAACGCCGGTACCGCTACTTCTCTTTGTGGAGACCCTATGCCATGTGCCCCGTGGGCTCGTTGGTGTTGCTGATGGGCTGGCCGTCCCTGACACAAGTCGTTACCTCGTTGCCTTCTCTAGGTATTGCAAGCAGTCGGACCGGAGCACCAGGGGAAGTCTGCTATGGGCTCGAGATACACGAAGCAGAACAGCTTTTGTGCAGTGCACCATGGCAGAGCCCCCCCGGGCAACCTTCCCCTACCTCTATGCATAAGCCCAGCTTGGCTGGTCAGGAGAGATACGGAGTGCCGCACACGGGCCTACGGTCCTTGGCTTACTGACCTTTTCTGGCGGTCCCGATATTATGCACACTGTCGTCTAATCGACTGGGCGTGCGTTCAGATCAGCCATAGCTTCTTGAAGCACGGCCGCAGTTTCACCTTTGCACTCAGCGCAAAACACCGACACTCGGGTTTGCCTCGTTAGCGTTCTTTGCTGGCCAGCTTACTCCAAAGTATGACCCTAGTCTTCGAAGTTCCGCCTGACCCGGGCTGTGGTCGCTTGAAGCTGAACTGTGATTTGGATCTCAGGGCCATGCTGTGTCCATACTTCTTCGCACACCTGGACAAACAGTGTGTTGGATGAAGGCTGCTGCTAGAAGTACTTCATACAATTGCTTCAGAAGCTCGATGCTGGGCACCGAGCTGCAGAGCCGTTCGACCGGCGGGAGTCTTGACCTGGCTGAGCTTCA